GTTGTTTATAATTATTGCTATTCTGGACATTTAAAAGCATTCATAACTCGCATTTAGATTTTCATTCTGATGTTTATTCTTTTCTGCACAATGTATAACTTCACATATTTCTATACGGAATCTCCCCAGACACTTGTGTGCCTAGTCCCATAATATATCAAATTGGTTCTGTACAAACATAACATCCTGCTTTAGATGCATTATGTTAATGACGTCGGGTTTTGAATGCCTATCACAAATGAATCCTATTCACCAGGGCCGGACTGGGAATTAAAAGCAGCCCTGGAAAAAAAATATTTACCAGCCCCATAATGCGTTGCGCCAGCATAGTGTGCAGATACAGAGTTAGAACAGATAACTTAAAATTAAAAAGTACTTCAACGTAAAAAGCGCACTCATAGGCTTCAAAATAAACAAAAGTGCAGATTTATTTTAAGCAGACGTGCCTTTGCATGTAATCAATGTTTCAGTCCAACTACCTTGACATATTAAGGAAAGCTTGTTAATGGGACTGAAATGGTGAATGTATGTAGGGCACAACTGTAAAAATTTTTTATTTTGAAGTCCTGTGGGTGTGCTCTTAACTTTAAATATGTTATTGTGCTGGAGTATGCACCTAGCAACAAGACTGGGCCAATATCTGCTCATTACATATGGTACATATTAATGAAATTTCTCTGTGTATTATGCATTTATAAATGTACATTAATATGTGTAAATATAATAGAGATATAAAACTAATACACACATTAATATACATGTCATATACTAATGGCGGATCCAGAGCCTGAGCCTGAGAGGGGCACTTGTAGATTATTTAAAGAAATATTCTATGCACAATAACCACTACTCCTCTGTGTAGTGGTTATGGTGCCAGGAGCGTCGGCACCCCCTCCCAGAGTAAGTCGTCAAACCGTTTAAGAACAGTTTGACAACTTACCTGGAGTCTGCTGGGATATGGGGCTGTAGTAGGGTATAGGAGCAGTGGTGCAATGTGTGTGAAAGGTACAGTGTGTGGGTGGGCAGTGTGTAAATGTGTATGGTGTGTGTGTGTGGGGGGGGCAGTGTGTGAATGTGTATGGTGTGTGTGTATGGGGCTAGAGTTCACTCCTACTACTGGGACCACCAGGAAGTGGTGAGAGTGAACTCTAGCCCATAGCTCCAGGGCTAGAGTTCACCCTCGTGAGAGCCGGAGCGTTGCCCCAGGTCCTCTCTTCCTCCCCTGCCGACTGGCTGCACGGTGCCTGTGGAACGGGGAGGGAGATCGGCCGGCAGGGGAAAGCCTTGGGGGCTTTGTGATATATACTGCCCCTATGTGTGTCTCTTTATCTCCAGCCCCTCTGTGTGCCTTTTTGTCTCCCCAGTCACTCTGTATGTTTCTTTCTCCCCCTCACTGCTCCTCTGTGTCAATGTCTCCCCTCTCCTTCCCAGTCTCTCTCTTCCCCCTCTGCCTCTTTCTTCCCCTCCCCTTGTGTGTCTCTCTCTCATTTCTCCCTCTTTGTCTCTCTCTTCCCCCTCTGCCTCTTTCACCCCCTTTCCCTGTGTCTCTTTCCCCCCTTTCCCCGTGTCTCTCCCTCCCCCCATCTCTCTCCCTCCCCCTTTCCCTGTGTCTCTCCCCTCCTCCCCATCTCTCTCCCTCCCCCCTTTCCTGTGTTCTCCTCCCCCCTTTCCCTGTGTCTCTCCCTTCTCCCCATCTCTCTCCCTCTCCCCCTTTCCCTGTGTCTTTCCCTCCTCCCCATCTCTCTCCCTCCCCCCTTTCCCTGTGTCTTTCCCATCTCTCTCCCCCTTTCCTGTCCCAATGCTCCCAGGGGCCGACCATGGTCCCTCACCTGTCTCTGTTTGGACCCCTTCAAACTATTTTAGGAGCATTCACAATCTGTTGCCTCCACCCCCTTCTACAAAACCACTTCACCTCTTAACCAAAATCCCTGGCCAGATCTTCACCAAGCCCCTGGCCACGACTTCATCAAACTCCTGGCCACCCCTTCCCCTTCATCAATGCCCTGGCCATCCCTTCGTCAAACTCCTAGCCACCCCTTACCCTTCATCAATCCCCTCCCACCCCTTTATCAATTCCTGCCACCCCTTCATCAGTCCCCTGCCCCTCTCATCAATTCCCTCCCACCCTTTACTCAGCCCTCTGCCCCTATTCATCAGCCGCCTGGCCCCCTAATCAATCCCCTCCCACCCCTTTAACAGCCCTCTGCCCCATTCATCAGTCCCCTGACCCCCTCACCAATCCCTTCCCCCTTTTATCAGCCCCCTGACCCCCTCATCAGTACCCTCCCACCCCTATCACCCACCTGCCCCCCTTTAATCAGTCCCATGCCCCCCTTTTCAACCCCCTGCTCCCCTTCATCAGCCCCCTTAATACATCCCATGCCAAATAATCCAACCCCTGGCCACCCCTTCATCAGTCCCCTGCCCCCTCATCAATTTCCTCCCACCTATTTATCAGCCATCTGCCCCCTTTAATCAGCCCCATGCCCCCCTTTTCAGTTTCCTGCCACCCTTTATCAGCCCCCTTAATAAATCCCCTGCCAATTAATGCAATCCATGCCACCCCTTCATCAATCCCCTGCCCCCCTTAATTAAATTCCTGCACCTCTTCAACAAAACCTATTTAATAAAAAAGAAAAAAAAAGTCACTCACAGTAAAGGCTGCTGCTCCCTGGACTGAGCTGTCTCCGCCGATTGAAGAGCACCGGGTGCCACCTTCACTCACTGAATTGGATCCTTCCGCGGCTCCCTCTGATGACAGAGCACGTCGACGTTACGCAAGTACGCGGCATAACGCCCCCACGCTCCTCCTCCACCCTCCATACAGAAGTGGATTCCCGGCGGCGGCTCTCTGCTCATAATTTGCAAGTCAAGTGCAATGCAGTATTATGCACTTGACTTGCACTTTAAATACAGAACTCGGCCGGCCTGCGAGCTGTGTTGGCCGCCCGGCGCCCCTGTTGCCATGGCGCCCTGTGCGGCCGCACAGCTCGCACACCCCTAAGGCCGGCCCTGCCCATGAGGCTAATAAGTCACAGGGATTGTCAGCTGTTCAGCCTCTGAACTACTGTGATGGTTACCAGTCGGGTAGCCAATACGTTTCTATATCTGTAATTAACAGAGGCCATATGCAGTTATAATAAGAAGGGACAATTCAAATTTGACAAATTATAAACCAGTTGACATGTTATTTCATATCATTGCACGTGCACCATACATAATTGTTCTCTCTAAGCTTATGTCTGTTTATTTGTAACTGTATCTTCATATCAGATGGGAGGGTATATTAAGGCATATTTATATATTACAAGTGGTGGGATGGGAAAAAAGAGTTCCGGTTACTTCGAATAAAGAGAATAACCTATTTCTTAGCTCTAATTAATGCAGTGTATTAAAATGGCCTGTGTCTGTAACTGATGTATTCTCTCTACCTCTTGCATTAAAGGAACACTATAGTCACCTAAATTACTTTAGCTAAATAAAGCAGTTTTAATGTATAGATCATTCCCCTGCAATTTCACTGCTCAATTCACTGTCATTTAGGAGTTAAATCACTTTGTTTCTGTTTATGCAGCCCTAGCCACACCTCCCTGGCTATGATTGACAGAGCCTGCATGAAAAAAAAACTGGTTTCACTTTCAAACAGATGTAATTTACCTTAAATAATTGTATCTCAATCTCTAAATTGAACTTTAAACACATACAGGAGGCTCTTGCAGGGTCTAGCAAGCTATTAACATAGCAGGGGATAAGAAAATCTTAATTAAACAGAACTTGCAATAAAAGCCTAAATAGGGCTCTCTTTACAGGAAGTGTTTATGGAAGGCTGTGCAAGTCACATGCAGGGAGGTGTGACTAGGGTTCATAAACAAAGGGATTTAACTCCTAAATGGCAGAGGATTGAGCAGTGAGGCTGCAGGGGCATGTTCTATACACCCAAACTGCTTCATTAAGCTTAAGTTGTTCAGGTGACTATAGTGTCCCTTTAATACCATTCATGGTGGATTATGGGAATTGTAGTCCAGTTTCAGTCAGTCCCTAGAACAGTTTTCATTGAGTTAAATAACTTTTTGTTTCTGTGTCTATAGCCCTACCACACACCCTGCATGGGGGGGACAAAAAGATTTAATTTTCAATCAGATGTTCTTGCTTTAGAAGTGTTTGTCTCCTGCTCTGTAACTTGACCTTTAATCACACACACACGAGAGGGTGCTGCAAGGTCTTGCAAGCTATTAACACAGCAGGGGGATAAATTCTCAATTAAACAGACTGTGCAGTAAAGGAAGTGTTTGGGGAGGCTGTGCCCATGCAGGGAGGTGTGACTAGGGCTACATTAAAAAAAGCTATTTTTAACTCCTAAATGGCAGAGAATTTAGTAGTGAGCCTGCAGGGTTATGATTGTACACCAAAACTGCTTCATTGAGCTAAACTTGCTTTGGTGACGAAAGAGTTCTGTTAAAGGGACACTTCACTGCCCAAATACAAAATAAATAAGAGTCACTGCTTAGTAGACATACCTACAATGAATCCATGCTTGCATTAAATTATGAATCTTTTCATTGGGGCAAATCAGGGCTGCATTAATTAGCTGAGATCATCCATTGAGCGCACTTGGCAAATGAGAGTGCCTCTGCTTTGTGCTCTGTAGAGCAATCAGGCCTCAACTGCAGAAGCCTGGGTGTTAGGGATGAAACTTGGGCACACAGCAGGACAATGAGCTTTTGAGGAAAATTCAGAGTACATTGACTTGGCCCTTATGCCATTACTGCTTCAGCAAGCTCAAGTGGTTTCTGTGTTTAGACTCTTTATGTGGACTGCACTGGCAATATCTCTGCATTTTTTATTTTATCCATTGTAGCTGTCAAGTAAGATTATACCCCTTTCTGATCCAAATTGTAAATGGTTTTTTTTTGTTTTTTAAAAAAAATAGTTTATGCCCCTTTTGCTGCTCTATACATCTACCCTTACCTAACTTTTGCTCATTTCTCGTTTTCCAGCATATGGTTATGAACTTTAGAGTATCGGAACTACAAGTTCTACTGAGTTTTGCTGGCCGGAACAAGACTGGAAGAAAGCAGGAGATTCTCGCTAAAGCTCTTCAACTTGTCAGATACGGCTGTAATCCAACAGTGCAAATGAAGATCAAAGAACTGTACCGGAGACGGTACCCTCGCAAGATCCTAAACACAGCTGGCTTACCCATGTTACACATACAAACAGGTGCCCTGACATCTACCAGCTCATTGACACAAAGCTCAGTGTGCCACCTGGCGTATGATGCCAGTTCCAATTCAAACACCGTTACCTCCTCCATGTTGCCTCCAGTTCCCATGATGGGTCCTAAGCACGAAACAGATATCCAGCATCTCTCACCAGCTATTCACCCGCTGCATCCTGATGTTAAGATGAAACGTCTTCCATTTTATGAGGTCTATGATGAGCTCATTAAACCCACCACATTGGGTGAGTGTTCCACCGCAACGAGCTGGTCTTATGCGCCTATAATAGGATGTATTTTTCCCTTGTAGGCCCCATGATGCTTAAAAGGACATTCTGTGCACCATAACAACTTCATTAGAATGTAGTTATTATTGTTCAAGGTCGACTCTGGGTGCCGGTGTTCTATCATTCTGCTATACTCAGTCAGATTTCTATACCCCCGTCACTTCCGGGGAGGGGAATCAGCTGGATCCTGTGCTGCACATGCGTGCTAGCACTCCTGCTACTCCTCCACAGCAAGGTGCTGGAAGGTAAGTAAAACTAGTTTTACACTTTCATTATAGTTAGTGCATTCACTAAGCTTAGGACATGGGACATTTAGGGTTAATGTTAGGGTTCAAATTAGGGTTAGGATTGGGGACTTTAGGGGAATATCACTAAATAGTGATTTATCACACTTTATTTTAACTCTTACCCCAAGCTTAGTGAATCCACTAACTATAATGAAAGTGTAAAACTAGTTTTACTTACCTTCCAGCACCTTGCTGTGGAGGAGTAGCAGGAGTGCTAGCACGCATGTGCAGCACAGGATCCAGCTGATTCCCCTCCCCGGAAGTGACGGGGGTATAGAAATCTGACGGAGTATAGCAGAATGATAGAACACCGGCTTACCTCAAGAGGTTAAACTGATAGCTGTTTTATGGCAGAGTTTTGAATCTGGCTCCTGTCAGCTCTTTCCACCAATATCTGTTGCAGTTCCAAGCTTGGATAAGGAATCATTGGACTTGGAGGTGTTGATAGGCTGAGAGCATGTGACTTACACAGCCTTCCTAAATACTTCCTGTAAAGAGAGATCTAAAGTTTAACCTTCCTTTATTGTACAGTCTGTTTAATTTAGAGTTTCTTATCTCCTGCTCTGCTAATAGCTTCTTGTTCAGAACCCTCCTGTGTGTGATTTAAAGGGACACTATAGTCACCGGAACAACTACAGCTTAATGTAATTGTTCTGGTGTCTATAACCTGTCCCTGCAGCCTTTTTAATGCAAACACTGCTTTTTCAAAGAATAGGCAGTGTTTACATTGCTGTCTAGTAACGCATTTAGTGGCAGTCACTCAGACGGCTACTAGAAGTACTTCCTGGATCAGTGCAACGTTCAGCGTCTCCACGTCCTGCATAGAGGTGCCGAAGTTCCTCATAGAGCTGTATTGGTTCAATGCATCTTTAAGAAGAGATACTGATTGCCGTACATGCACATTAGCCTCCCAATGCTTTCTTTTGAAAAAACATTGGATTGCCAAGGAGGCACAGTGGTGGCGGAGCCAGCCACGAGGAGACTTGCAGGATGTTGGAAAAAAGATAACTCCCCTTTTTAACAGGGGCAAGGGGGGACGGCCACCTAAACTGAGCATTTGGACATATAGTGTCAGGAATACACATTTGTGTTCCTGACACTATAGTGTTGCTTTAAAGTTCAATTTACAGAGCACTGGATAAAAACATATGTTAATGTCAGATTGAAAATGAAACCATTTTTTGTGCAGGCTGTGAGTCACAGCCAGGGGAGTTGTGGCTAATTCTACATGGACAGAAACAAAAGTAATTTAACTTCTAAATGGCAGAGAATTGAGCAGTGAAACTGCAGGAGTTAGTTCTGTACATTAAAACTGCTTCATTAAGCTAAATATTTTTTTGGTAACTATAGTGTCCCCTTTAAATATGATTACAAGTAGATGACACCTTCTAATATGTGTTGCTGTCCCTTTAATGTGTCTTTCTATTATCCATGGTTAGTTTAATACTGTTAAGATCTGATTACTTGTAGAGCTGGTAAAATAGAGCATTTTATTCCTTCAATCGTCTTCTTTTAATGTATAGAAAAAAGTGTATTTTACGTGAGCATCCTATAGACTCCAAACAGATTTGTTAGCGGTTCAGCAAAATAATGTAAGGTTTTACCATGGCTGAGATGGCAGGTTTAACCAACATGTGACACATCAGCCTTATCCAAGTTTAGCCAAGTTTTAGTGTCTCCAGTAGGACCTCATGACGTTTCTGTGTTTGTCTTCCAGCCTCCACGAACAGTCAGCGGTTTGAAGAGGCACACTTTAATTTTGCATTAACTCCACAGCAGGTTCATCAGATCCTCACTTCAAGGTAGGTTCAGTAATATCAGCATATAATATAGTATTTATACGCACTGCATGTCCATAGCCTCCCAATACCTCCCATTAGTGAAACCAAATTGAAAACAATTTTTCTGATTCGGCAATTTTGATGTAACATTTGAAATTCATTTTTAATTCTCCACAATTTATCAAATTGTGGTGAAGTGTAATCTGATTTGTAAAATGTAGGCATTGTTTCTGCAATATAGTCAGGAACCTAGCTGTTCTCGTTAACCACAATTTGATTGTTTAGTAAATGGACGACCTCTTTAGTGTTTAACTCTGGCAGTATTTTGCAACTGATCGAGATACTTTGTTAATGCAAAACTTTTAATTGCTCAGATAGGCCAGGTATGTTTTCGAATTGCAAGATTTAAGGAAAATCTCTCAAATTTGACCTGAAATTGCAATTTGGGTATTCACTTAGAGCTATTTAAAAAGGTCAATTTAGATACAATGTGCAGTCATGGTTTGAAGCAGTTCAAAAGTCTGAAAAATATCCCGTTGTATACTTTATATTGATGGTTTGTAGAAAACCTCAAATTGCCACTTTTATGTACAGTTAGAGAACCTACATTTTTGAGAGAAGCCATATATCAGAGGTTGATTGGATGATGGTCTTTTTTTTAGTCAATTTCCTGGTAAATTGTGCGTAAGTTTTCTTTAAATATGCAACTTTGTATCCAAACTTTTTTTTTTTTTTTTGATTGCTGCTTGAACCATTTACAGTGCAGACGTTGATATTTTTTTTTATTTTTGCAGAGATATTCTACCCGGAGCCAAGTGTGATTATACAGTACAAGTACAACTGAGGTAAAATAAACTTTTTAAATATATATATTTTTTTTTCTCAATTCTTTAATTTTGTAGTGCAGAAAGATAGACACATAGGCATTGCAATGTCCCATCTGCATAGGCAAGCATAACGTATGACCGAGGGAAACCGTTGTGAGGCATTTGAGACTATATTTGTAGAAAAGTTGCATATTCAGGCTGTGCTTTCATATCTCGACATTGGTCAGAAGCTAATCAGCTATGCCTCGGTAACTAGCTAAACATGAGGAATAATAAGATAAGAAACATTGTGGTAAAACACGCTTAACTTATGATTATTGCAGTGCATGTTTGGGATGTCTAATGGTGAGCAGTCACGTACTCGGTGTTGCCCCAAAAAGTCTATATGGCTATATGGTTTTAGTGACTATCTGTAAAATAATGTGTCAAGGTTGGTTTGGAGGAGTGCTGAGACAAAGAATTATAAGTTAGATGCACAATATAGGCACCCAGACCACGGCATCTCATTGCAGGGTTAAGTCTGCCTCCAGTGACTGTCTAGAAGACAAGGAACTCAAGGTGCAGGAAAAACAGATGGCAGAAGAGAAACGAAATCCAAATATATTCATGATTCAACACAAAGCAAACAAAGAGTCAATAGCACATTGTAATAAAACAGAACCTCTAGGAAAGTGAACAAGGGAAACTCTGGATGGGAGCTGGTCACTTGAAGTACTGAGGGGCAGGTTGGATAACCAAGGGGAGGCGCAGGTTGGATAACCAAGGGGAGGGGCAGGGCTGGGTAACCAAGGGGAGGGGCAGGTTGGATAACCAAGGGGAGGGGCAGGGCTGGATAACCAAGGGGAGGGGCAGGGCTGGATAACCAAGGGGAGGGGCAAGTTGGATAACCAAGGGGAGGGGCAGGGCTGGGTAACCAAGGAGAGGGGCATGTTGGATAACCAAGGGGAGAGTCAGGGCTGGGTAACCAAGG